AATATATAAGAACTATAATACTAATTGTATTATATAACTGGATTTCTCTGCCTTTTTGTAGGTCATTATTTTCTCCTAATAAAACAAATAAAATGACCCTCATGATACTTTGAGGTTCAAATGCATGCCAGCTAGTTGCCAGTCTCTGTTTTACCTTTGTTCCTAAAGAAAGCAATCGTTTTTCACTATTCTACAGAAACCCAGCCTCCTTTAGTTTGGCTTTCAATGCTTTTAGTTACTCAGACCCTTTTGTAGTGGCTAACATGGCCTGAATTGATGGAATTCGCTCTTGGTTCTATGTTGATTTCACACTGTTTGCAAACACTTCTCGGGCTCCACATACAAGAATTATCTTCTGTCTTTTTTCTCAGTAGCAACAAAGCTTTTCAAGTCTCCCCAGTTGACCCCCTGGGCACGTTACAGTCATGAGGGCAAGAAGAGAGGAATGGCATGATTCCTCGCACCCTTTACCCTTCGTTTGTCAGCAGGGATTCCTGAATCTGAGCAGTGGTGGGAATTGCCAGGGGAAGGTGTCACTCACCAAGCATAGCACTACCCATTTGTTTGCCATAAGAGCTAATGGCAGCAGCACCAAACAAGAAGAAAGGCAGAGAGGCTCAGAGAGGTTTTATGAGGTAGTTTGGGAACAGACTTCAAAAGCCAGTTCAACCAAATGCGAACAAAGTGAATCTAGCATGCTGCTTGCTCAGCTTCTCTGGGCTCCCATCTTGGCCCTTCCCTCTTCACAGGTGCATCTTGCTTAAACACTTAAGGACTAGAAAGCTTACTTTTTATGCAAAACAATAAACTAGTCCTAGAAAGATTCTTGAGGAAAATTACATAAATCAGGCTAGTGTTGCAGAGCCATAGTATGGTAAGTGGCTATTTTTTGCTCTGGTGGAACACTCTTGTGCTCCTGTGCTTTTTTTCTGTATTAGCAGAACTCAGGTTTTCCTGCATGTCACGTCTACCAGCACTGCAATTCAGACTTTAGTATATATCCTATTTAGTACAAGTCTAGTAGTACTTAATATTCAGAAGTAGCTGTTCCAATACCAAAAATACTTTTACATAATCCTTAATGCCCACACTGTTTTTCCTCTCATGTCCCTTTAGTTGTAAATATGTTTATATGAAAATCAAATATATTGCTTGCTTTCGTTATGTTTGTGCTGAAACTATACTTAAGCAACTTCTGCATTTAAGGAAATAACTCTTTTACACAATATATTACCTGCCAAATTCATGTATCCAAAATATTATGGAAGCAGAATACTTAGTGTTAAAAAAATAAGGCGTATATATGAATAATAAAAATACAATCTGTAATTTTATCAGTCATGAGGAGAAAATAAAAGGGAAAATCGATTTAATATTTCAGCAGCTTCTAAGAATACAGATGTCTGGAAGTAAACTTTTCCCACAAGGTTCATGTATGACTATGCACCATAGAAGTGTATGTACCTTTCTCTAAAACCTCTAGTACTGACTTCCAGAGGCAGAACAAAACTAGAGAGGTATAATACAGGGTGCCTATTTTAAAATTTTAATATTTAATATAACTTCTACTGTTACAGCTTAACAGCCTTAGCTTATTAACTCAAAGTAATCATGAGGGACATACAGTTGCTGTTGACTTCCATTTAAAGAAAGAAATAGAACAGAAAGGGAAAAGAAAATTCCATGTGCCAGCTTTCCTGAATGTTGCTTAATGCCTACTTAATGACATTTTTTTTCAGGCATGGCACACTGACTGCCTGCTTGTGCCAGCTGACAGATTTAAAAAATCAAAGTCACTGTATACTCTACAGAACATGAGATTTCAGTCGGCATTTCACATATTTGTTTCAGCTCATGATTCCAGAAGAATTTTTGTAGAAACCTGATAGATAAATTGTACTTACTCATTTTCTGTCTCTAGATAATATAAGCACTTAATTAAGGGGAATTGAAGCAGTGGTAGTAAAAAAGTGAAGACGGAACTCTCATATGGCTTGTGAGAGTTACGGTTCTCATAGGGCTTTAAAATTACACAATTTTAAGAATGCACTTCGAATTAATACATATATGTGAAATTCAGTGTCTAGTTCCACAAGTTCATTGATAGAATAAATAACTCATTTTCAAATACTGAAACTACACTTTGGCAGAAGAGTAAGTTAACTGTTTATTTCTGGAGACAATTTGTTTGATGTGTGCAATAAATAAATCACCATATTCATAAAATAATTCCATTTATAATTTTCCTCTTTAATACATTCCAATAATACTGAAGGTAAAATTTTAATAAAAAAAGATAAAAGATGTAGAGTGAGGCCCAATAATATGGTGTAGGTGAAATGGAAAAACAAGGGTAGGAAATGTTTCTTTAGGTAGTTATATTCTATCCATCTCCTTCACATGAGAGCCCCTTTATTTTCTTTACTCCATACCAGTCCTATTTCTGACTTAAATTTCAGTCAAGCATTGAGGGAGCAGGAAAATTCAGAATAAGTCTAGTTATACATACAATACATAAAGTTATATTTTTGTGGTACATACAATCATAACACTTACGAGAAGGTCTGCTCATAATATTATGCTCATCTCTAAAAGGTAACACCTTTCAAAGTCAACAATATAGACACACGTGAAAATAATTTTGCCATAAGTGTCAACATAAAAGAAGCACCTAAACATGACAGTATACCAAGTCCCTCCTACATGTCAATAAAAATTCATATGCCTTCTGTAGTAAAAACTATATTTTTAAAATAACCAAATTATCATGCAGCACATCTACAGAGTTTTTAAGTATTTTAAGCCATTTTCACAGTTTTCTTTTTGTTTTGTCAATTCTATTTTCATTAATAGGGTTTTCCATTTTGTCATGGGCTTCATTAAAGCCCTTCCTCTATTTTCCCATGCTGAAATGTACATTCTAGAAAGTAATTATATCAAGTATATTAGTCTACATTATCTGCAAAACTAATAATACTTAATAAATTTGATGATTTCTTTGTCTTCAAATATTAAATGGCTCAGTTTACAGTAACTTTGCCAATTATTGGAGTGAGGAACTATATCCTGGAAATAAAAGTCTAAACCAGACTTCTCTTCCTCAGCTAGCTTTTATAGGTCAGAAGTCTCATGTTTTCCACTTACAATCTGACCTCAATTAATGAACCCTTTTAGAGGACACTAAATTATTTTTCTATAATAGAAGTTTAAATTGAAAATATCTTGATTATTTTAATTAACATACTGTATATGACATGACCCTGTTCCAGATAGCAGGAAATTTTGGATAGTATCTTCAAGGCTATACTACTACATAATGATTCAGACTTTTGGCAAATTGCCACAGCTGGTGTGGAAGCTTTTGTTGATGTATAAGATATACCTTTCCAAGAGCCAAACTGCCACTATTAAACTAAGTTACACTGCATATTCCAGTTTTCAATAGATCAAGATAACCCTGTGTTCAACTATATGAAAGCCATGAACAGGTTTCAACAGCTCTCATTCCATCTGTCACTCAATAAATCTTTTTTCCTTCTCTTTGAGTTTTTAAATCATGGCCCTATTGTTTGTTCCAGTGGATGATTACACTGCTACTTTTATTTGCTGTAACTTATCCTTCATTAATTTTAATAATCAAGAACACTCTGTGTTAAGGGTTTTGCTGCACATTTCCAATAATTTTATTATAGACACACAAGAAAATTTTACTGAAGAAACAACCTCCCACTCATCTATTACTTTCTAAAAGGATATCCAATATTTCAGTTTAGCATATTTTGTTGCTTTTCAAAACAAAACTCCCTTGCCTTAGAATGATAATCTTGTTCCAGCCTGGAATCTGATCCTGCTACCTGTTTGTACTTGCTCATTTTCATTTGGCGATTCCTCTCTTCTACATCCATTGCACCTGTTAAGTGGGGGAAAAAAAAAAAAAAGAAAATAAATACACAAGCAGTCCTCAATTCCAAATTTAAAGTTATGCTTATGGAAGTTTTAACAGAACGAGATGAAGCCTGATTTACTTAAATTACAGTGTATATAATTTTAGTTTCGGAATTACAATTTTGCAGAAAACCAAGAAGTTGTAAGAGGAGGAAAATTGTAGATAAGTATTTCAGCAGAATCTTAATAAGTATTGGATAATCTACACAATTCAAATGAAATCAACTTTGTGGAAGAAAATAATGTAAATGGAACACAATGTTTCCACCAAATAGAATTTTACTATTTCAAAAATATTCAAGAGAAACTGAGTCTTTCAGTTTAAAAAAGGAATGCAAAGACAACCTGCTTATTTTGGGTGATGATCCTGTTTCTTCATTTGTGAGAGTGTGATACACCAAATTACTAATCAAGTAACAACCACAGGCTAGCAGACCTTCCATTTTCCATTTGAGCACATTTTTAGTATGCTCAAAACAATTTAAAGATGTCTAAAGGAATGTTAAAGAGCCACCCAGTGGCATCACTGTATTACATTCTAATGACACACGACTTCAAGAACGATTTAAGGATTCACCCTTCTTGGACCAAATACATGACTAGTCTCAGTTAGGGACGTGTTCTTACTTTATGACTCAGGCAGCAGCTGGTTTCAAACAACTGGTACTGTAACACCACAATTTACTATCTAAAATAATAACGAAGTAAGTGCCAAAGCTGAAGTGGAAGAGTGAGAAATGGAAAAATGAGAGGAAGACAACAGCCCTGAATTAAAAAGAAAGATTTTCAAACAAAATATAGTTATCTGTTATACACACACAGGCTTGATTCTTTTCCACTTTAACATGGTATAAATCAAGAATAATTCATTATCCACTGAATGCTAAAAAGTATTCATTTTGACTGACATTTGTCTTAAACTTTCCAAAATTTTAACACCAAAATTGTCTAGGATTCAAATTTCAGAATCCCACTAGTCATAAATGACAGTTTCTGTAAATGATATCTATTGAACCATCTGGACTTTATTTATGGAACTGAGATGGGAATATTAGATTCTGGTGTACTATATAAACCTGACTTAAACTCTAAACCTCAGTTCTAAGACATAATTTAATAGTAAAGTGGAGCTTTGCACAGGGCCTCTGCAGGGCCTCTGAGCTTTGTGTTTTCTTTCTTGACAACACTAATGATAGTAGCACATACTATGAGACCTGCCAGCTAAATTTTGTGGCACTTCATAGGGGATCTGGAAGGGGATAAAAGGAAGAGGGAACGCGATAAGGCTAAACTGAACTGTTATCTATAAACCCTCTGGTTTCTGATTTTTGAATTCAAACTCTCCATCTTTACTCCCTACAAACTACATGAATGAAAAGACTTCATCAAAACATTTAAAAGAAATGAAAATCAAGAAAACCTAATGAAAATTCTGCAAATCCACTTGTCATTCTTCAGTAATGTAACAAAGTAGATATTTTTCACCAAAAGGGAAATTTTGTCAATTTTTCTTATGACGTTTTCTTATGAAATCGTCATATATGTTCTTTGTCCCCAGACATTCTGCCAAATTTCAGGAAAATACAAGAAGTGATGAAATAACACCTCCTGAGCATAAATTAGAAATTTCACAATTACTTGTGAAAATAGTCATTCTTATCTATGATCAGTTGGCAAAGTGAAAGTTAGGTTTCCACAAATCCAATTGCCTATGATCTGCAAAACCAAGCACTCTGAAATACGGCATTGAAAAAGGGAGTATAAGACGTAAGCCCTTGGTGTGAGTCCTCTAACAAAATAAGCAAAATCGGTGGCTCATTTTAATCTCAAGAGAAAAACAAAACAGTAAAATTTAGAAAAAAAATTATTCAATTCCCATAAAATCTTATTAAAAGAAAATCTAACTTGCTATGTATTTTTGAAACTGCCTTTAACAAGTGAGTGAATTCAGTTATATGCAAAAAGAGGGAATCCTGAGGGCAGTGGAAAGTTCATAATGCAGAAGATCAGTTTTGGATCTACTCTGCGTGGACCTGCCAAGCAGCAAGAGTGTGCAGGGCTCATGGATCTAATCTTGATGTCACTTAAGCCAGATGCAGCCGTGATCTGGATGGGAGTAGGAAAGGCTGAGAGGGTGTCACGGCACTTCCCGTTCACATGGTACAGCGTGCATGCATGTCACGATAAGTGGTGGAAATGCAGGGCTGTCGTCACCTCCACTTCTGCTGGCAAATCTATACTTAGCTGAAACCTGTCAGGGATGGGGGGTTGGGGGGCCAGGGGTGTAGTGGGCGCAGAAAGTACTTCCAGAGGGTTCAGTAACTGTCCAGGTGCATTAGGAAGCTTTAGCTCCTAACGTGATTGTTGTAACCAAGGCTGAACAACAGTCCTATACTAAGGACTCCACTGTAATCAGGAGGTGTATATGAAGCAAGTGTAGACAAATCAGAACTAATCTCAATCTAACTATTAGTTATCGATAGTGGTGAAAATGTAGGAGCATAATCTTTCACACTGGTAGCACAAGGCTGACTGAGCCCTTGTGTTATTCAGGTCCTTAGCTAGAGCACAACACATTTTCAGGACTACAGAGACTGTCATGAGAAAAATTAAAGCTACTTCTGATACACTTTCATGTACTGCCACGATGTACCAAAGTGTATGCAACCAAATTTTGGCCACACAAAAGTGAGTTCATTTGTACACTTCTGCCTTAACTTCCTTGCAGAATTTTGCTTCCAGACAGTAGCTGTGCCTCCAACAGAAATATCCAATGAGACACTCAAACTTCAGCCATAGGAACATAAAAAATTGAGAAAGACTGATGGAAGAACAAAGCCTAGTGCTGCTCATCAAACACAACTGGGATCATTACACTGTAGTCAACTTTATGGAGTTTAGCTTATTTTGAACTCTCTAACGTTAAAACCCCATGGCCTGAAGTTTAGCTCAATGGGGTTTTCATCAGCACAGGGAAATTCCTGGCTGATAAAGAGCCAGCTGCTGATTCAATACCAGCCATTTGGAGAATATTTTTAGGAGGGAGTGTGCTGAGGGAAAGCAGCATAACTACAGTGCAAACACAGCCCTGAATTGCCAGAGTAAGGCACCCAAACACCACGCACAGCAACCCTGTAACCTGCCCTCGGATCCATAAGGACTGTAGTGAGAGACTAATTTGTGCCAGAGCTTAGCACTAGTGACTAAAGTAAATTAAAGTCTTCAGCCACACGAATTGTACTTTAATCTTTGTTTTTATCTACGGAAATATAACCAGTAGAAAAGGAAGTATAAGTAAAGCTTTAACTACAGGATATTCTGTAACAAAAGATAAGGAAATATCTCAAGACATAGACAAAAAGGGTGCCTGGAGGCTGTGTCTTGAGCAAACCAGAAGAAGAGAAGAACCCAGATACTGTGAACAGGATTGGATGAGCAGAATTGCCATCAGGAAATCAACCAACCTATGGAAACTATAAAAACCAGTAACAATCAACAGGCGGGGCCCCTATTCAGAGGCACCCAGTTCAAGCTGTAACTACTATTGCACATTAAACATAGTAGAAGAAACTCTGATTCTTTTATTAAAGCAGAACCTGGGGACGAGCCCTGTTGAGGTGGCACTCACATAATTCCTAGCATGGTCTAGATGGCAGCTGTATAATTCCTACAGCAGGACTCGGGGCAGGCACTGCTCCAGCTTTGAATGTAAACCATTATTTTCATGTTTTAATGAAATAAGATAAGATTCAGCTACTTCATCATAAAAGTTTTCCTCATAACTGAAAATTAAATGTTTGTTTCATGCTAAAAATTTTAAGGGGCCATAATCAGTGATGTGGTTAATACCTAACTTCTGATCTCAACTGCTCATAGAGTCACATTTTTACAAGGAGATAAGCAATCATTCAATTCAACCTGGAACTAAAGACTGTTATTTGCTCTTCAGCTCCAATATTGGTTCCTCTCTAGGGTAAGACTCTTCAGTTGATAGCCTGTGGTCCACACCAGAGACACAAGGGACAACAACATGGCATTATCACCCAGCTTAGCCTAAGGCAAATCTACCTATTTAAAAAACAAAAATAAAAAAGCTGGGAGATGTGTTCTTTCATTCTTTCTGTCATCGCTTTCTCCAGTGGGAATTATTAAACTATTCTAGCTACTATAGACACTGGCGATGGTGATGTGTTTGGAGGAGGAGTTTGCTGTACAGTGGGGTTTCTGGGGTACAGAGAGTAAAAGGGAAATCTAGGGTATGGAAGTAGAGTGGAGCTCCTCTTAAAATATTAGGACAGATTTAGTTTTGGATAGGCATGGACAACAGGCATACAAAATTTGGGAGGCATAGCATCTCAGGCATGGGGAAAAACTAGTGATGAGGGGACTACAGAAACACTGAGATTTTGGAAGTTAGAAACCTGTAATAGAGAGGAAAAAGGCAGTGTGCAGGTGAGCACACTCTGTGCCTGGAGTGAGGAGGACAGAACAGAAGTCTTAAGGTGTACAGGAGCCTTTAGTTGATTCTAGTCGCTTTCTTCATATTTCTTACCCTAATTTGACTCCCTTAAAAAAGCAAAGGAAATACATTTGGGAAAGCCCTTTCTTAGTTTCCATTTCCTAGTGTCTATTTTGAAATCCCCAAAATATATATAAAATTGTGATCCAACTCTATGGTACACATTTGCTTAAACATAATAGGTCAAAGAACTTAATGGCAAAAACATGAAAACATGTTGAGTAAGTCACCCTACCTGTATCCCCATTCTCTGGATCTGCTTTCTTTTCTTCTATAAACAAATGAAAGCAATATGTAAAACAAAAAGAGGGGGAGAGAGAAAATGCAGAAATAATAATAAAAGTAATATAAATCATGCATTAAAAAGGAAAAATGAAAAAAACCCACCAAATTAATTTAATTTGATGAGTTTAGTCAACCAACCAAGTATGGTGCTCTGCATCCAG